AGATTCTTTTACTATAGGTTAAATAAATACTATTAATTTTACGAATTATTTCCTTTATAGTCTACTATATAGAGTATTTTAAAAAAGGAATATTTTTTATATTTATAAAGGTTTAATCTTAACTATATAATCTTATATAAAGTATTATAATCTACCTATTATTCTAATATAGGTTTTAAAGTCTTTAAAAGTTTTTAATAACTCTAAATTATAAAGTACTACTATTCGTTTATCTATATTCGAGTATCTAAAATATAATATCCTAGGTCTATAGTAAATAAAAACCTAAAGAAATACTTACTACCTTTAACTATAATATTATGCTTTATAAACCTATCTAATATAGTTTATAAATTAGTTGGATATTTTATTAAAGTCTAGCTTACGTAAATACTATTATTTATATAAACCTTTATAAATAAAATATTAGTAAATAACGCGTCTATTTATCTTTATATATATACAAGGGTATTTTAAAAGCTTATAATAGTATAATTAAATTAGAATTATCTTTTATAAGTAATAAAAGTTATAATCTGCTTACTTTCTAGATAAATCTACTATTACTAAAAAAATACTATAGTATTAATAATCGATATCTTAGTCTTATCTTATAAATTATTAATAATACTTTCTATAACTAGTATCGGATATACGTCTAGTAAAACTATTATATTAAGTCTACGAATATTAGTAATAGCTCGATACTTAACTATACTATTTAGTATTACCCTTTTCGCGATAAAGATTAGCTAAGAGAAGGGAATAATTATTCTTATACGCTCGATTGTACCTTAGTTAAGGAGTAGCTTTAATATAGTATCTTTGATAACTTTCTTATCCTTCTCGCTTAATAAATAAACTTTAGTATAACTTATAACCTTATCTTACTATCCTTCTTTTGAATAAATTCTTATCTAAAGGTCTTTAGGAATATTAATATATTTTTTATCTTAAAAGAGTATTTCTAGTATATTATCTAGAATCTTTATAATCTTAGTAGCTTTATTAAAAGTACTATAAATCGTACTCCTAGAGGAATACTTAGTTTCTTTTAATAAATCTCTTAGTACTAATTATTTAATTTAATTTAATCTATAGCTTTAGTATTATTATTAGTATTATTATTAGTATTATTGTTAACTTAAAAGTATTATTTAGAGTTAATAACTAACACGTAGCCTATACGCTAATTCCGAGAGATATAAATTATAACGTCTCTATTATTTTATATTATAATATTAGTAGTTAAATTATTTATTAAGGTAGAATAGATTCTAATATTATAGTTATTAGGCTTAAGAAGCTAAGCTTACTCTTTTTTTAGAACTAGAATATTTTCATTAATTGGTATAAGAACTTTAGATTTTAGTAGAATAACAACTACCTCCTTAGTATAGATTAGTATTAAGAGAAAAGGTCTCTTAGATTAAAAGAATAGTTTTATATTAACTTTATAACTACTAATTCTAGCGTAGTATTTTCCTAACTTTAAAGTAATATCTTTAGGTATTATAATATCCGTTCTAATTAGTATTTTAGGTATAAGTTTATTAATAATATATACTTCTTTTTTAAGGTTTATAATAACTAGCTTTATAATATCTTTTAAAGCTAACGTAGTATTTACTCCTTTAAAGTATATATCTAAAAGTATATACTAAGTAGAAATTACCGAAGTATTACTAATACTTTATAAATAGATAAGTCTTACTTAAATAGTAGTTTTAGCTTATAAAGTAACCTTTAATAAGAATTCTTTATTAATAAGGGTTATATTAGTTCCTAAGTCTATATAAATTTTATAATAATCTCTATCCTTTATAAACTAAATAAAGATTACTATAATTTAATACTTTTTATATATAAAGCTATTACTTACTATATTAGGGAAAACCTTTAAAGTAATAACTAGGATCGTAATCTTGTTTATAGTAGGTTTCTTACTTACTTCTACTAAATCGGCCTATAAGGTCTTCTAGTACTAAAGGAGGTATAAATAGAGCTAGTTATTAAATAGGAATAGCGAGTTATAATATCGATAGGTTACTTTATCTATATTTAATATTAGTTACGAGATTAACTATATATCTATTAGTTTAGTTCTTAGTTTAATAACTAACTAAAGTACTTATCCCTTAAAAGTATATAGGTAATCTCTTTATACGTCTAAATTAATTAAACTATACCTATTATCTTTATATTTAGTCTCTAAGTATAAGTCTAATTATTTACTATAATAACCTTAGTTATTACTACTATTACCTTTAAGTTCTTTTTTATAATATAGATTCCTCGTCCTCGAGTACTTTATTATATATAGAATCATCCTCGACTAGAACCTTGGTTTCCTTAATTTTTATGATTAAACAAAGGTTAATAATTATTTTTTTATCTTCTACGGTTTCTATAATTATTAAAGTAATTACTATTATTATTATTATCTATTTAACCCTAAAACTTTAATTTATTAGCCTTAGTATTCTTCTTTTCTTCTAACTTATTCTTATCTTTATTCTAATCTTTTAAATCCTCTTTTTATATATTAGGTTTAGGTATAGTATTATATAAATAATCTAAATTTATATTTCGTAAGTAGTTAGGTCGAAAGTTATTAAGTTAGTTAGTTTATTAAGAGTTATTATTTTGTCACTTTACTTAAAAGCTATTATTTAAGAAGTTATCTTAAAACTTATATTTAGAAGCTTAGAAATCCTTATAGGCCTTTACTATACGATTTCGGCGTCTTTCGTCTTTTTTACGTTTCTCTTTAGCTTAAGTTTATTTAAGTAAAAGCTTAATCTATTATAGTTTATAAAGCGATTAACTTAGACCTATTTTATTCGCTCCTAACTATAGTTTGTTAACTTTCTATTAAACCTTAAGTATAATATAATTCTAAATATATATTATTTAATTAAATTTATTAATAATATTTATACTTTTTATAGCTTATTATATTCTAGTTATAAAGATAATTAATCCTTCCTTCTTATTAGGATACTATATCTTTAAAAGAACTAGATTAGCTTTTAACAGATCTATATAGAATTGGTTAGAGAGTCTTATAGTTAATATATTTAGATCTTTAAGTATAGTAGTTTATTTTATATTATTAATTTTATTATTGTACTAAACTATAGCTATACCTTATTAAAGGAAAAAAACAAGGTTCATAATATTTTATAAATTATAGGTTTTTACTAGCTACTTAAGTTTATTATAAAATATAAAAACGTTTAAATAGATTATAAATTTACTATTATTTTAACTATAGTTAATTTATTTAAAGGGTTAAAGTATCTAGTATCTTTAGGTCTTAACTTATATTTAATAATAGCTTATATTTGATATAGTCTTTATAGTTATTATCCTTATTCTCTTAGATTAATTAAATTTTATTTTAGTTTTTAGTTTTCTAGAAGTTATATTATTAGGTCCTAATAGCGTTTCTTTATCTTTCTATTTTAGTTAATTATAAATACTATTAATCTCTTAAATTATTTATCCTTTTTACTCGGCTTCTTTTATACTATAGTATTCTTTAAAGGCTATAGTTAACGTAGTTCTTATTCTTTATAATCGTTATTATTATCTTCTCTATTACTAGTTTTTAGTCCCTAGTTAAATCCTCTAAATCTATTATCTTTAAAGTATCATTCTAAATTTTCTTCGCTTTATCTATTACTAATACCTACGTTATTATCTTATATAGGTAGGGTAAGGCTAAGTAGCGGTTATATACTACCTTAGTTTCGTCTAGCTACTATTACTTATAATTCTACTATTATAGCTATAAGTTAAGCTATTAGTTTCTATAAATTTTAGCTTATAAAAGTAGAATAGGATAATTATAAAGAAGCTTATTAAGTAGTTAATTAGAGTAGAGGAATTAATATATTATTCTACTTAAGAAAACGTTTTAGTTAAGTATTAAAGGTTCTTCGAGCAAGGAGATTAATATAGTAATTAAAGATAGTATCTTAAAAGGTGAAACAAGGTAGATAATTATTAAAATAGTTATTAAGGGCTACTAATACTTTACTATTAATATCTTAATAGATATACGTATAAAAGTAAAAGAGATTAAATAATATTTTTAACTCTTTTTATAATATTAATATCTAAGTTAACCTAGAGATAACCTATTAGGGAGTCTTACTTATAACTAGAGTAAAAGCCGTTAAAAATTTAAAAGAAATTCTCTAGTACCCAATACTAGAGCTAGGTAATAATAACTAGATTTTATTTAAGAAATAAAACGTACTTAGGTTATAAGGTAATACTACTAATTATTAAGGATAAAATAAGAGACTATTAGAATAAGCTATAAAAAGTACATAATCTAAAAGTAGCTAGCTAAGGTAAAGTAGTACCTTAATATAAGAGCTCTCCTATACTATAGAACCTTCCTATCTAAGACTAGCGTAACTTGTATAAGACTAGCCTTAACTCTTCTAGAACCATATAGTATATAGGCTGTCTCGCCTAATATAGGGGTTATATACTAAGTAAACAAAGGGGTAAACTCTAGCACGTTCCGTAATAATAATCTAGTACTAGACTATAATTATTTATATACTAGCTAGCTAGCTACCTTCGCTTCTCTAAGTAATAATTCATTAAAAAACGACTAAATACTTTAGTTCTATTAACTACTTCTATCAATATTAAGTAATACTTATAGATCTAACTATAATTCTTAGAAAACAAATAAGATATTATTAGAATATATAAGATATATAGAGCTAGCTAGTAGTGAAAGGGGTGTCTTTTAGAAAGCTCTCTTATTAGCTCTAACCGACTATAAGCCTCTAGGATATAGTAGTATACGAGACAAGGGTCTTGCGTAGCTATAGTAAGGCAGGAGTCTCGGCTAATATAACGGGATTATTTCCTAAAATTACTAGGAGTAGATATGAAATAACCATGAAATTATAGGAATTTTGTTTAATCTTCATAAATCCTAGTAATCAAATCCGATAATCTATAAGCCTTATTTAGACAGGGAGCCTTGAACCTGAATCATCTACTATAAACCCATTCCCTATTTCAAATCGCAATTTTACTTTACCAAGGTTTCTGTCGACCGACTGCGCTCCTCCAGGGTATTGGCGCAGGACATCTCTGACCTGAGGAAGTTAGATTTCCGTCTTTGTAAATGTAAGTTTGCTTACCTTGGAATCTTGCATCTTTACGGCGAAAGTGGTGACCGTGGAATTGTACCCAACCCCGTTGCAGTGCAACGCATACAGACCCACTATGACGGCGGCGATACAAGCTACTGCCGCGAGCGCGTAGGAAATTACGAGACTGCGGCTTTCGTACAAGTATACGTTCTGCGCTGTGGCAATAGAGACTGTCACATTCTCATACTCACTGTTCAAAGTAAGTCAGTCGAGATACGCAGGAGTAACTAGAGATAACCAAAGTACCAAAAATCCCAATTGCTTAGCGCGCCCAAAGTGGAGTTCAGGACAAACTCTTCAACAAGTGCGGAGAGAGTATGTTTTGGATATCATAAGGTACGTACTCCAGCCATTCCTCGCCTATTATCTCCATGATTGCTGATCTCATGTCATTCAGTTGAGAGTGAAATATCAGATTGGTGCTCATCAGCTCGTTCGTATGTACCACAAAACCAGCTGTCGATTCCACGCTCGTATTTTCTCCATTGGCGGCGACCTTGGACCACCCGAAAGTCCCCATCAAATATGAACAAACTTCGACAAAGAATATGGAATAAGAAAGGAGGTCTGGGGGAGCGCCTTGAGTGTTCATGGAAGCTAGATTGATTGGTTCTAGCCACTCTCTTCTCTCAATCTGGACTGTGGAGACGTCGTTCACGAAAGTGACGTTTAAACCAAGGGACGCATTGTAGAGTTCGCAATTGATGAACTCTACTTCTTTCTTTCCTCCATCATAATTTGCTATAGCAATCCATATCTGGCCTAGAGTATCCAGGGAATCTACATCTGATCTCTGAGAGGTATTCCACAAAGCGGCTGTACTTGAAGAATTGTCATGCAGCATCATGTTATAGGGTATGACTCCAAAGTAGCCGATCCCACCGGTGACATTCAGTCCACGACTTGCATCAAAATAACTCCAGTCAAGATGTTCGTCAAGCGCTAGTAAAGACGTGGCATTGTTTGTTTCATTGAATTCAGGAAATGGCCCATCGTTTCCCCTAGTCTGAGCCAGAAGATTGGTGAAGGTAATTTTCACTGCCTCACTTGCGGGATTGCAGCGGAGAAGTGGAAGGTAGTTGTTGAGTTGGTAAGTTAGATTCCCTGGTTCAAGATTCTCCGGTATCACAAGAAGGGGAAGATCGCCAGTGACAGCTATTCCTGACACCATCTTTTGAAAGTTCTGAGCTGTTGAATATTTTCCGAATGGATCGTAAAAGCTAACGAACTCAGAGTCCTGGAGTGCAACATTCAGCGCTTCCACTTCCGTGACATTTACAGCTTGGCCTCTAACAACCGAAAGCGTTGCTGGAGGAAATAAAGACGCAATTGGAAGTATCCTGACGAACGTCAGTGCCATGTCTCTAGAGTGATCGGGGTCCTATTTCTTCTTACCATAAAATCAATGCCAAAAACACGCATACTCTTATTTTGGGCAAGAGCTCCCAATTGAGGAAGGAGAAGAGGTTTTGCCCAAGTCCGAATGCATCGTTTATTGTCGACAACGATAAAAAGTTTCTTGAAAGCGTCTTCCACAGGTACTGGACATAAGCAATTCCCACAGCAGCTTTTAGAAGAACGTTCACCAATATCGAAAGGCCGTTTCCGATCCTGCTTGCGTCACTGCGTGAGATGAAATTTCAGCTAAAACAACAAGAGAACTTACCGCAGTGCCCATTGCTGTCTATTGCTATCTCCCACTCGCTGCTCATTCAACCATTGATAATACAAGTGATGACCAATTGCAATGATAACCCCAGCCATTAAGGACACCACCATCATCGTTGGAGATAGCCAGTGAACACTACGGGATTTACCCAAGTGGTCCTGAGGAGTCGCTGATTGGGCTTCTGAACTCGAATCATAGTTCTTTTCTTGTGTACTTCCACTATAAGCATTGAAGACGTCGAATTAGTCTTGGATCTCTCGATATTCCCGCAAGTCACTTGCCTTCTTTTTTCGTTTGCTTTGAGAAGATCCAATTTGCTCATAAAAGCAGCCTGATTCAGGGTAGGAGAACCACTTGAAATATCGGTTGTCAACGTCGTCTGCGTCGACAATGGGAACTCCGGGTGTTGAGAAATACTAATTGACTCATGATCAAATCGACTTTGCTGAGTATGGTGGTTGCTATCAGGCAATGCAACCTCGAGTGAAGCTGTCGATTAAGACAGAGTTCGACTTTGACCCTCCATGATTACTGAAAGTGATGTCTCTTAGCTCGTGTTCATCATATTTGATGTACTCGTAGGACAGCCCACTAACCTTAAATGTAACGTTTAGAAAGCTCCCAGTAGGACCAAATCGCAGAATCTTGCATATTGGGGGCTACAATCCTAAAGAATTTTGCAACTACGAAATTATGGCTCAGAGAAGTTAAGATCCACAGCGGGGGCGATGCATATGCAGGTCATTTGAAATCATTGGCGGTGGTTATTTTATGATTTGGGGGCCATGCAAAGCAGCGGCGTCTTCACATTTCAATCCTAGCCTAGTCAAACGCATATGCTAGTAAACGCGGTCAAACCCCCAGCGCTAGGAAAGAACACGCCGTGGCTCAAAATAAATATAGTAAGAACAAGAGAGCTGAAAAGAGGGGTAAGATAAGGGGTTATTCGCGTAATTACCGAGAACCCCTGCCTCGGGAGTTAACCCTGCTCTGGGAATAGTACAATTCGAAGCCGCCTTGTAGGATAAATGCGTTCCATGCCTTAAATCAAGGAAAAGGAAGGCAGCAAATACCTGTCAAGTTGAAAAAGAAGTGGCTATCCAGATTCCTTAGATAACTAGAAAGACCAAGGAGAAGTTAATTTAGCCGATTATAGCGCATGACAAATTTAATTTGCGGAGCTATGGATTTGGAAAAGCCGAGAATCGCGTGTAATTTTGAGTATTCGTGGACAGAGCAGAAGGCATGAGGCCTATCAGTAATGCTTCGGACTCGCGTTGTGATCTTGTTTTAGTCCCAAGGTATGCGCGAGCCGGGCATCCCCCACAATCACGTAGCATTCTTAACATGGCTGCTGCGCCTCTCCTCGAAGTTTTATTATCTATATCCTTACAAATGCAGCGCTGATCTATTGTATTCTATTATCTAAGGAGTTTCTATAAAGCTTCTCCCTTGGCCTGTAGTTCTGTAGTTTCTATTTCTGGGCTTTGGGTATAATATCGGAGCTAATATTTTCCATCCAATAACTACAGAAAAGAATTTATGGACGGTCAAACATGACTCACCAGGTTGTATCTGGTTACAAAGATCTCAGATATGGAGTATTGTAGAGTTACGGAGAGTAAGAGCGAACTCGAATTGTTGCCTCTCCAATCGATTCCCTATCCCACGCATCTTGGCAATGCTGGTAAACTACAATCGAAAGCAGTTGAAGACTTATTCAGAAAATTAATATCGAAGGAAAGGAGTATTATTGCCCAGTACTGAACTATACGATTCGGGAAATGAAGTTCTCTATGCGCAAGTCTTGTTTATTCATACTCGTAACTCATTATCGAGGGAAGAGAATCTTCTTGAGTAACAATTTTGAGAAGCTCCTCAATTCTCCTTAATTACAAAACTAATAGCATTCGTAAAATCTCGATGTACTGACATTACACCTACTCCACCATCTGCCTATTGAGATCCGCACTAACAACCACAGTGGCCAGTATCCAAAATACAACCACCACGTCGGCCACGGATCCCAAACCTCATATGTCCCGTCTTTCCAATAGGTCAAGTGCTCCCTGAACTCCTTCAACTTAGACAAAACTGCCGAGGAGTTGGTCCTGAAAACCAGGAGTTCCAAAAATGGAATAATGCAGCGAGTCGCCAGATCATGCGCGATCCAATAATTCCCTAAGCTTAAAGGTTTTGCGATGACAGGCTTCTCTGAATCGCTCCCATCTAAAACACTCAGATAAGCCTCCACCATTTCTTCTCGCTGATCGCCAAATAGGACAACAGCAGTGTGCGCCCTTGGGTTACATTCGATCGGCCGCAGTTTGAGAACTTTCTTCTCACCAATCTCAACCTCATCGGCGAAGAAGTCAAGGGAGAAATGCCCTGTCGTATTTTCCCCCATGTTTTGTGCATATCTCTCTGTGTATTTCAGCATTCCCATAAACAATTCTGAATCCGGCGATAATGCTTGATAATGCATCAACAAGTCTGAAGAAGGACATGCTGTAAATGTCCTGACCCTTCCACGCACAAGCAATGCATGTGTGCAATATTCTTGGCCACCCATAAATTCCTGCAGTACGAACGGTCTCTTGGCACTTGGCCGCAAGCTTGAGATATAATCACTGGTAGAAGCTTTTGATTGCAAGGGAAGAAGTCTCATATCTGTTCGAATCGAATCCTCAATTCCGACGCTCTTCATGATATACCGCATTTTATTAGTGGATGGGTCGACCAGACGTAATACTTTCATGGCATCTTCTGTGGAGGTGACCGAATGTGTATCTGGAACAGAGAGACCAATCTTTCGCGTGCTCTCAAGGAATAAGTCTTTCTCGTGCAAAACTTTCGTTGTCTCGACGTCAAATTGGACGACTTTGCAATTGGTCTCTCTTTCCAATCGTTCTGCTGCTTCGGCATCTTCAATTGCTGAATGGATTCCAGAGCAACTAATCCACAGATCCACCTTCTCGACTTTCACAATTTCGAGTATCCTTTGGGTGTACGTCTCTGCAGAAGTATAATTGGGAAGTCTGTAAAGTTTTGACAGACTTTTCGAAAGTCTCGCGCAAACTGGTATTCCGTAATGTTCGAAATCAGCGCCGATTACCCTATGGCCAGAAAGGTAAAATGATCGAGCGATTGTAAGACCCTTACTCATTCCAACACCGGTCACCAGCACTGTCCGACTTCGGAAAGAATACGATGCTCTTCTCTCCTGTATTTGGCGAGTCTGGGTATCAATGTATCGCGAGACGATAGAGCTGAAAATTGCAAAAAGAGTGCAAAATGGAGCGGAAATAACACAGAGCGCTATCAAAGCCGAACTTTGCAACAGGTGCAAATGCAGAGGGGAGGATGCATTGAGAGGCATGGTCGCGATACGGCGTTTGGCAAAAGTTTTGGTTAGGACATTCAATCGTTGAAATAATTCATATACGGTCACAGTTGTGTCACTCTGATGACGTAGTCAATTACACAAAGGAATTATCATGACAACCGGATAATTACGGGACTGTAACTGCATGCAAGTCTCAGTTTTCGATGTCAAGCGCTACTGTCTGGATAGCTCACTTTTGGATCAACGTGTGGATTGGGGGGAAATTATTGGCCAGGTTCTTATTGCGCAGAACTTTCAGGTCGATAAGGGAAGACTCTCTGGCGGACGCAAGTCATTAGGTGCAATTATTGAAAAATTGGATTGTACTATTATATAGGAAATCTGACTACCGGTATTCTTTTTAAACTATCTAATTCGCTTCAAACATTACGACTCGTGTGCCTCCCCTTCGCAAACTGTGATTTCAACACCGTCCTATGTGAGGTTAGCTAATAGTAAGAAATATCGACGTAAAAGTAGAACTGACTGGTTCTCCCGATGGCTCATAGCTCTTCCTAAGCTCACTCCTGTATTTGAGGTTGGGATTGCCTCTTTGACTGCCCTCCTCCGCCGTCGAAATTGCAGCTCTCTTCTCCTCAACACTGCTTCGCACGTATTTCAAGTACTCAGGGTTCCCGGGATAAATAACATTATCTGCTATAATCACTGTACCCTTTCCGATGAAACCTAGAGATTCGCAAAGCTTAAGATCCGTTGTATACAAGGGTTTATGATGGTCGATAAAAACCATGTCTACCTTGTAGCTCTCTTTTTGCGTGCCGGAGAGAGAATTAATGCTCTCATCACTGGATCCGACAAGCACTTCCACAATGTCGTGCAACCCAGCGAGCTCCACCAAAGTTTTGATGTTCTTGGCGAATTTCGGGTTCTTCTCCAAACAGTAGAACTTCTTTCCACCAGCTGCACGCATTGCATTTGCGAAGAGAATTGTGGAATAGCCGCAATATCCACCAAGTTCTACCATGACTTCAGGTTTGGTATTTTGGATGACTTCGGTAACTATTTTCCCTTTATCCTCTCCTATATTCATGAGGTATCTCTGAGTTCGTGCAAATTCGTCAATTGCATTGAGGATTGTGAAAGGTGATCCTTGCATTCTGGGTCGTTCCTGAATGAACTTTACAAGTTCTTCCTCTCGTCCATCATCATACTATAATAAAGTCAGAATAAAACGATGATAACAATTCCCTACTCACGTAAATTCCTTTGTCCTTGGCTTTGTATGCCTTGCTTTCGTCAAAAGAAGGCATCTTGAATGCGGTGAAGAGTTTTCCTTGCAAAAAGTGTCTGATGTTTAAGTTGATGGTCGACAAAGTTGTATAATTTAAGAACGTCATCTTTAGTAGACTCGGCATCGGGACCGGTACGGCATCGGGACCGGTACGGCATCGGGACCGGTACGGCATCCTGAATACCGGCTGATACTGTAGTCCGGGCCAGACATAGTCTCTTTTTTACATTCCGAGAATACTCAAGACAAAGAACGACTAAATCACAAATCTAAAAACAACCCCCACCTTTACTGTTGTACCCTAACTAACATCGTACGTTTTCTATTTTCGCGCTGTCATTGCTGAACCTACATTATCTTGCCATAGCTGTCGTGCCCTTACTTGTATCCTTACTGTCAAACCTTCATTCTCGTCCAAACTGCAGTACCATTGAGATAGCGCCATCAGTGTTGCACCCCTGGTGTTGTGTTACCTTTACCCCTCGCTAAGTCTAGGCCTTTACTGTGTGGTAGCCCCGCGAATACCTTTGGGTTAGGGAACATACTTTCACATCATGATTCACTTAGTACTCGTCATCAAGTAGGATATATCAGGCTGTACAAGATGTGGTGACATGGCAGAGAGTGCTGATGTCATTGACTTGTCAATGTTGATGTCATGAGTTATCTTGGGATGACCGAGTTCAGACATAAACATTGAGCTCTTTGTTCAAAGATATTATGCGGTGAAGCTGCATTAGACTAATTGTGTTGGTTCTATCAAAAGAAAATCAGTTTACCGAACAAAATCGGGATTGCCACTCGGAAAATTTGTTTTTCAGTACGCGCCCACGTCGAAGAGCGTATGTAGACTAAGTTTCAAGAGAAAGTTCCGGGTTGTACTGCGGGTTATCGGATGCATAGGCGAGATCCACATTATCATAGCATGGTGTATTTCGTATGTCCAACCGTGTTGATATGACAAAGGCCTGATGAGTGGTGAAGTGGATACTTAAGCTGTGCTTTCAATATAGCTAAAACGCTTAGAAATAGACAACGTTTTCTCCCATCCACTTTTCCAAACTTCATTTCAACCACTTGGCAGTTGATTGGTGTAGTTTTGTTCATCATGTCAGACCTCAAAGTGAGTTTCCAATATCTTTCTGAGTAGACTATTGTTTTGAGCAGATCTGCCCACACGTTCTTTTGCTGGGTTTTGTATACCATCGCCCATTTTGATATCAAAGTTCTTCAAGAAACAAACTAAATCGTGGGTTCTGCAGGCCACCGTCTCAGAGACGAAAACTTCCTCAGGACACAACGGATTCCACGTAGAAGGGTACGAAAAGATCGAATATGACTTTACATTCATCGATGGGGTTTTCGACATTAAAAACAATAACTTGGCTCAATGCTACAACAAATGGGGAAGATGTTTGGCAGTCACAGATATGAACATTCATGATATCTATGGCAAAAAAATGAAGGCATACTTCAAACATCATGCCATCGACCTCACAATCCACCAAACCAAAATCGGAGAGAAGGCCAAGACAATGCCCACCCTTCTGAGCATTGTTGACTCAATGAATGAGTTTGGAATCTATCGCAAGGAACCTGTCCTGGTCGTTGGTGGAGGGCTCGTTACAGATGTTGCTGGGTGGGTTTCTATCTCTCTATTCTCTCGTAGGTTGCATCTCAAGCTGATCTGAATAGATTCGCTTGTGCTGCATACAAGAGAAACACGAATTTTATTCGAGTTCCTACTACTGTCATTGGGCTTATTGATGCTGCCGTCTCTATCAAAGTTGCTGTCAACTACGGCAACTACAAGAATAGATTGGGTGCTTACCATGCTCCGATTCATACCTTCTTGGATTTCACCTTCTTGCGAACACTCCCTACGGCCCAGATTCGAAACGGTTTTGCCGAATTGATCAAGATTTCAACATGCGCTCACCTTGATACATTCAACCTTCTTGACAAATATGTAAGCACTCCCATGCCTTTCTCGCTTCAGAAGGTCACAGGTGCTAACCAAGAATTAGTGCGAAGAACTTATCGAAAAGTCATTCGGCCGCGCTGATGGGTCTTCCCAAGAGCTCATCGATGCCGCAGACGCAATCAACCGTGATGGAATTCATGTCATGCTGAAGCTCGAAACACCAAACCTCCACGAGATTAACCTCGACCGAGTAATTGCATACGGTCATACATGGTCGCCACTCCACGAACTTGTTCCAGAAACCCCACTGCGTCACGGCCACGCAATAAGCATCGACATGGCATATTCGGCGACCTTAGCAAACATGCGAAACCTCATCAGCGACGAGGAGCACCGAAGATTACTCGACCTATTCTCCAGAGCTGGATTGTCAATGGACCATCATCAATTCAATGAAGAAGTTTTAGAAAAAGCTACCAATGCCATTCTGAGAACTCGCGACGGCAAACTGCGCGCTGCGGTACCAAACCCAATTGGTTCTTGTGTGTTCTTGAATGATGTATCGGCTCAAGAAATGAACGAGGCTTTGAAAAGGCACAAGGAAATTATGAAGGAGTATCCCCGAAAAGGAGAGGGATTGGAGGCCTACGTTGATTCTTCTGACACTGGGTACACCGAGCTTGCGAAGTCCGAGGAGGAGCTGATCTTGGAAAAGGCAGGAATGAAGGCAGGAATGCTAAACGGTACTAACGGCCATGTAACCAACGGACACGCAACTAACGGACACTTAACCAACGGGCGTGCAACCAATGGAAACGCAACTAATGGACATACTAACGGGCATGTAAATGGACAAACTAATGGACACACAAACGGACACACCAAGGCTACTAATGGGCATACATTGGGAACCAACGGTTTCGGCAATGGTCTTCCCAATTGAAGGCAGAAGAGCAAGCTTAACCAAAAGATACATCTTCAAGGCCCACTTTTGAAGCGACGGGAATGATTGAAGGGAATGATAAGCGAAGCGTCTCGGCTGTCACGTGGGGCCTTCATCGCGAGGGTGGTGATGGAAGTGAGCGAATCGTACTGTCGTAATATTATATACTTCAGCATAGAAAAGTAGCTGATTGAATCTCATAATACCATCTCGTCGCTTTTGGTTCTGAAAGAATTATCGATTCCTTCGCGGTCATATCTGCTTGGGTAAAATGTGCTGTTTCTCAAACGGTAATTGACTGGAACGTCCCCATGAACATGTAAAGACCTAAATATCCCTGCTGCTGACCCAAAAGGCTATGATCCTTGTATTCTTTCTTCAAAACACACTCAAGATCCAGTACATCGGTTTTCACGGCCCTGACAGGGGCAGAAGTTGAATCGAGGTAATCGGCATCCGTCGCCATGTATTCCTTGAACCATTGTTTCAAATCCATCTTGAGGTTGTGATTGTATCTCTCTCTTAATCTGTTGGCATGCGTGAATCCAAGAAAGCAGTATAGGGGGATACAAGAGATTTGGGACTCCAGCTAGCTCCTTTAGGCTAAATAAGTACGCTGAAGAGTATATACCTAGCATCGGGTGGAAGAAGCTGGCTCCTAGCACCTGAAATGCTTGAAATGCATGACGGAATAGCCTCAAGTAAATTTGTTAAGTCGATGGAGAAAGGAAAGAAAGAAACGCGGCGACTCAAGAGAGATTCTTACCTGGCGCCTGATTACTTGAGTACAACAACGTGATCATGTAGGCGAGTGGCAAGAATTTCAGGGGTCTCGGTAAGCACTCGCTCAGGGGCCTGAATAATCGACCGTATTTCCTCCCCTAAAAGAGGCTGCCTTTTTATAATCTCGTAGCGTTAAACGACAACAACACAACAAAAAAAGGTCTTAGAAATACTAGTAAATTAATAATTGAATCAATTCCTAATTAGTGAGTATAATTTATAGCTTTTTATAATTTGCGTAGCGTTTATAATCTGTTTTTAGATATAGGTAGCGCACAGACGAAATACGGTCGATTATCTCAGGCACTTTCCAAAATTCCGGCGCGTCTCCCAGCCGAGCTTATCCAAAAGCGCGTCGAGTCAACACCAACCTCAGATCAAAGCAATTGCAGTGCAGATTCAGCAGCAGGAAAAAGGGGGACATTCTCAGAATTTTTGAAAAATGGTCGACTGCCCAATTTGTGGCAAAGGGGTTAAAGGGAAGGATATCAATAACCACATCGACTCCGGTTGCGAATCTTACCTGGACACCACTTCCCCGCCACTGACACAGCAAAATCCAACATCAACCCAAAAGCCGACGAGCACACAGAAACAAGCCCCCTCATTATCAAACTTCTTCCAGACACCTGCCGCGAAGAAAGCTGCATCATATCCCAGCCCCAAGGTAGAAGCTAGTCCAAGTCTTGCCTTTCAACTAAAGGCGCCCCGCAATGGAACGACGGCGTCGACAACCCCAAGCCAGCCACAACGAAAACGATCCTTCGAAGATGGTATAACCAATTCAAGTTTGAAGAAGGAGGCAGAAGATTCCAATGGCAGCGCAGACGATCCTCCAACGAAAAAGCCAAAAACGAATGCCTTTCAGAAAGCACAGCCTCTCGCAGAACGTATGCGCCCTCGGTCTCTCGACGAATGCATAGGACAAGAGCTGGTAGGCCCACATGGCGTTCTGCGAGGCTTGATTGAGATGGACCGTATACCTTCTATGATTTTATGGGGAGGTGCCGGGACGGGAAAGACCACAATTGCGCGCTGTATCGCTGCCATGGTCGGCAGCCGGTTTGTAGAAATCAATTCTACCAGTTCTGGAATCGCAGAGTGCAAAAAGATATTTGCAGAAGCAAGAGGAGAGCTGGGATTGACGGGTAGGAAGACGATTCTTTTCTGCGACGAGATACATCGATTCTCGAAAACGCAGCAGGATTGTTTTCTCGGGCCAGTCGAGAATGGTCAAATTACTCTTATTGGGGCCACCACAGAAAACCCGTCTTTCAAAGTTCAGAATGCGTTACTATCGCGATGTCGAACCTTCACACTTCAAAAGCTGACTGACGATGATATATTTCAAATTTTAGAGCGGGCTATTAAGTCTGAGGGAGAAAAGGTTCCAAAGGATCTCATTGATTCGGAGTTCCTCAAATACCTTGCTACGTTTTCAGATGGAGATGCACGTACATCTTTGAATCTCCTTGAGTTAGCCATGTCCCTAGCTGCGAGACCCTCAATTACCAAAGAAGAAATTAAGTCATCGCTCACGAAAACGCTCGTCTACGACAGGGCAGGGGATCAACACTACGATACTATTTCAGCATTTCATAAGTCTGTGCGAGGCAGTGATCCAGATGCTGCTCTCTATTACCTCGCTCGTATGCTTCAGTCTGGTGAAGATCCACTGTACGTTGCTAGGAGAATGGTCGTCGTTGCCTCAGAAGATGTCGGTCTTGCTGATAACAGCCTTCTCACTCTCGCAACCAGTACTTATACGGCCGCTGAAAAGATTGGAATGCCAGAGTGTAGGATAGCTCTAGCACATTGTGCCGTGGCGTTGTGCCTAGCTCCTAAGAGTACAAGAGCATACCGAGGGCTGAACAATGCATACGCTGCATTGCGTGAACCGGGAGTCGCAAGTCTACCGATTCCGATACATTTACGGAATGCGCCTACCAAACTAATGAAAGAATTGGGGTATGGCGATCAATACAAATATAACCCCAATTATAAAGAAGGGAAGGTGGTGCAGGAGTACATGCCAGAACAGTTACAAGGACGAAAGTTTTTGGAGGAACGGGATTTGGGGACGGAGATTGATCCTAGGGCATGGAAATGAAACGGTAGATTTGGAGGGATTTGTGTTTTGAATACGAAATGGAGTCACTTTATGGATTCTGCATGGCGATGGCGTTACAGGTAAGGAACTTGTAGGTATACCATTAGGAGTATTGTAAGAGTGCGCAAAACGAAGTCTAAGTACGAAGACTCGGAGAATCAAAATATTGAGTCAAGTAGTTTTAGGATGATTTGGTCTTAGTTTCTCTCCGTTGTTCCCAACTCTCCCCAAGAAATTGAGTTAACTGTTCTAGGACTTCTAGGAACAATACTCGTGTGATTAGGTAGACTGCAACGGAGAGTCTCGAAGCCCATTTGCATCAGAGTCTCATGTTTTCGCAAAAGAGTGAGAAATAGCTACAACCTCGTGTTTATTCCTTACAAGTGATGCAGCTACTATGGCGCATCATTCATCTCATGGTCAGTCAAAACAAAACGATCTCACAAAAAAGCCAAATTCAGTTTGTAACAAAAGTCTTGCTAAATTACTCTAAATAGCAATCTTTCAATCGCATCAATCTTACTCTAATAAGCAATCTTTCAATCACTCTAATAAGCAATTCTGAACATTAAGACCATTACACCACCACGTCGAATTAAAGGATTCGTTTGAAACGTAAAGTGTTGAGCTCCAGAGAACAGCAGAAATCAACAGACGGAAAGCCAGGCGAGAAGCTCATTAGACAGGTTGTCACTTCTGGCGGCTGTGCTTGTCGTCGCGTTTATGAGATGCAATCAAAGACCTCAGTGGTCTTGATGATCTCATTGGATTTGTTTTCTACTTCGTCGATGAGGCCTTTCAGAATTTCATGAACGATATCCTCGGATTTCTCGTCGACGAAACGGATAATACGAGAAACAGTATCGATCTCAACAACATCGAAGGGCTTCTTCTCAATCAGATCAACTTTGGCAACCTCAATACCCTTGACTGGTAGAGCGTTGTCCCGATGGCAATACCGCTTGCTAACCATCATCCACATGGCCATAGCATTGCAGAACGAGACCAGAACTTTGACGTACGTAGTCCAGTCATCCGAGGCTCCATTCATCGTGCCGCCCAACTCTGCAAATGCCAGCAATGCCCGGACAAGCTCATTGTGAGCACCGAGAGTCTCAGCAAAGGCCTCCTTCAAACCCATGCCATTGCGGATCAAGATTTCGACGCAACACATTGGATTTCCCTCGATGTGATCCTTTTGCCAGCCCAAAAGATCGTTTTGCAATCCGAGGATGGATTGTGTGAGGACCTCCATCTGGGATATTCTCGAGGATACTCGGTATATGTTGGGGAGACTGGTAGGCAAACCCAGACCAGCTCTGGCAACGACTATGAAAGGACGAGCGGAGATGGTGAGGATTCGAAGACGGATCCACTCGCTCATTGCGAATCGTCTGCCATGGAGAGGCTTCTCATCTTGGAGTGCCTTGACGACGACACCGACTTCGTGCCAGAAGTGGAGCTTCCACTCTTCATTCTCGTTGGGGTTTTCAGGGAAGAGTTGCGTGGAGCAGACGGCGTGGTGGAAAGCTGTGATGACGATTTTGGTGTCTTTCAACTTGGGGTTCTCTGCTTCGGAGCGGGACCAGATGTTCTTGATCTTGAGGGAGAGTTCTTGGAGTGTGGTTGCTGAGGCGAATGATTCGATGCAAGTGTCGATACAGTCCGAGCATGCTCCATCCTCAGTAATGTCTAGTGGCGTGGTCAGTACATATGGTGCTTTTATTTTGTGTTGGTAGAGTTTTGGCTTTCTTACCATCAATGGCGCAGAGGAAGGCCCAAAAGCATGCCAGAACAAAACGAGCGCCAGAGGGAAGGACTCCTTCTGGCAACATTCGTTGAGCCAAGTCTTCTGGGTTAGCTTTCTTGATAATCTTATGAGCTATATTGTTCTTGTGGTTAGTATGATATATCATCGAGAGGGATCAGAGTCACATACCCCATGTGGGCATGAAAGCCATGAAAGCCGAAGCTTCAAAATCCGATCTTGGTACTTTTGTTGAGGTGGCCGCATCAACGTTGGCACCAGCACAACTCCATTGCTCTCTGATCTTCTCCTCAGTGCCATTGAGGGATGCAGGTAGAACAAGACCGAACTCCTCATCGAACAACCCAACATACACATTGTGGGTGACGGCCGGGAAGGAAGTCCATGTGTTGGCAGCTTGCTCAAGTTGACAGTAAGACATTCCTGCATGGTGGCAGACAATGGCTTGGATGGATTCCGGGTCGACAAAAGCTCTTGGTCCAGGATACAGCGAAGGCGATGTTTCCAAGCGGATGACTCTCAAGGCCGTGTAGTCGAGCTCCAGTTCAGAGGGTCCCCAATGCTTTTGCAATTGCTTCGTAGGATATTGAACGGCCAATGGCAAAGGCAAAGGCTTGATATCCTTGATCTCCACGACCTCTTCATTCTTTGGGCTGGGCTTGCAGACGTAGGCGACCTTGGTCAGGACATAATGGTATCGGACATCCTCGTTGAGGAATTTCATCGTGTCGCATCCAACTGGGATGGAGTAGACGACTTCAACCGATCTTGGGGCTTTGCTCTCGGGGGTTTGGGTGGATGGGAGATCGATGCGAAGGTGAAGAGAACTTCGAATCTCATCCTGGTTGGAGCTCAATTCGGGTTCATGTACCTTGTACTCTTTCAGCAAATTTGTTCTCGCGGTGTGGAGGAGGGAAAAGAAAGAAAACCTACCGACGCCATGGTTGTCATGCTTGTCGATCCTTATGCGCTGGGGATTTCTGCGTTGGGGGGGAGGACGCGTTGTTTTTGTTTTTTTGTTTGTTCCGTTTGGTGCTCGGCTCCCTAAAAGGAGGGTTTTCAATCCCTAAAAGGATTTTTGTTGCTCGCAGCATGTTCCCTGCTAGAAGGTATATGTATACAATAGTTGACTGCGTTTATTCACTCTTGTTTGCATCGTTTCACCAGCCATCCCACCAGGTTTACACTCATTACCCAATCACGGATGGAACCATTTTTAGTTTGCCACCTTTTTTGGTCTTAGATTATTGCTTTGGTCTTTCCATCTACCTAGTGCCAAGTTCAAACGTTAGGCGTTTACCTGCTTTACCTGGTTGGTCTCTGATTGCAGACTGCTGGAGTGTGGCCAACTACCTCGCTAGAGAGATACAACGAAGGTTACACAAGGTGAACCTGAGTGAAGTTTATTTACCTCTACAATTGCTATATTTAATAGGGCCGCTTAGTGATTGGGAAATATTCTCTCATTGGGACTTATGAGGTGCCGGAATTTTCGCTCATCTCTAACCCACAGCTCATCAATAGTCTTCACAAACCAAATCCTGCTTCTCCTTCACTCTTTTATATAACGACACCAAGTAGCGTAACAATCTTAATATCAATGGTTTTCTTTCATGAAGAGGGGAAACGCCATTATCTCAAATGTTCATTAGCAAATTTGCACCAATAAACTCACCATAAAACCAAGGCTATGTTTATAGGCAACTATACGACGGGAGGAGCCAATGTCTCTCGCTTCCCAGCCTTGTATCGACGCCACTATCCCACCTTCCCGGGTATATGCAAGATCATCAATCTCATCCCCAAAATTCGGTTCAGTTGAGTTACGGATAAGGGAAACGATACTTGTTGGTGGCTTTTTTTCCGCAGACCGTTTTTCTGTAGGTGATAAATCACAATATTGAGATCTAGATCTAGAACACCACGGGTCCATCCAGATTCTCCACCACAGATATCTCGGGAGATATGTCGGATCCGGGTTGAGGGTTGGTGGCTTTGAGTCGATTGGAGAAGTTTTTCATATCGTCTTCTATCTGTATGGATTACATCTTGCGTGCTGGCAGGATGTACATTTTGGCTTCGAATCCCATATCAAATCAGATTGGAGAATTCGAGCATCGAAGTCGATGAGCGGTGAAGTCACTCGATCAGTGAGGACGGCATCTCTAGGAATTGGCGTGCCTCAAGGCTGCGAAGTTGCCTCGATTTGAATGCATCTCGTAGCCAAGAACTTTCAAGGCGCAAGATATTCCAGTGGCCAGCCCTTCTGAAGGATCCAATGGTATGCTCCCAAACTCATCACGTTGAGATCATGCAGTAACTCTCCTTGAGAAGGAATAAAAGACCTTGCGATTCTCCGTGAGTATAGCACCTCAGCGGGAAATCCCATCCGAGCGAGCAACTCCCGCAGATTGGTACTCCCCTTTGATATAAATCACAACGCACAAGTCCCCAAGGAGGGCCTCTCCGTACCTTACCAATTACGTGGATATCATCCCCACAAAAACCATCTTTTCGAAACCAGCGCTCAGGTTCGGAATGTCAAACGAGGCAAACTCTAATTGTTGAGACGAAAAATGCGGAGATATTTTCTGAACAAAAAAACGTGACCAGTGACCACACCACTCTTCTTGGCGGAAGCAGCTTGACCATCCTCTGACACCTTCGTCAAAGATATTTCACTCCTATTTTTGTTCATCAGTGGCTACCTCTCGTTTAATGTATTTTTGTCCGTCTCTCACTTCTTCTTCATGCACTGACAACTTTCAAGTTGCTAGTTTCTGCTGGTCTTTATGTACAGTATATTGTTCTATTCATCTATTGTCGGGTATCGGTACCTGGCTCGCCTGGCCAAGAAAGATGTTCGTCACAGCCGGTCGATCATCAACAGCCTTCGGCCGAGTGGGTTTGAGATAAATATCCTGATAGCGCCGCCAAGTGAACCTCTCCTCTCAGCCTCATACGAAGTAATCGCACTTACCCATGGTGCCCTATTCCAGCAGGACAGCTCCGACTGAGAAGGCAAATTCCATTGTTATGGGTACTTACCCACCAATGGCTTTCAGTCTCAATTTGCTTGTGCAGCGCTTTCTGAGGGGCAAGTTCCGCGGAATGCTTTGGGCCCAAGTCGAAGTCCTTCGTATTGACTTCTTCGTATTGACATACCCACTTCCTTCTCGAAGGATGAGCTTGTGATTCGCCGTTTGACTTTGAGAATTACCTCACCATAGACGGGTAGACGGGCGGGTAGCACCCTGTTTCAACCCTTCTTACCCGCCATCACTTTGCGAAAGGATTCTGTACAACCAACCATCCACCTCAACTCATCACGGTAGAAGTACAATCCATACGATCGCCCAAACCCCCATCAAAGCACTCAGAAGATCCCTCGCAAAACCTATGCGAACCCTCAAATTCCAAAATGGAAAAACGGGGTAGGTAGACAACGCACCCTTGGCATTGAGGATGGACATTCAAAATAGCCCAGGCGGTGCTGGTACAACTACGGGATCTCCAACCATGAGACCCAAACACCACCCACCCCTATCCTCACGATGGGGGTGGTATGGTATGCGAAAAAAAGCCCGCGTGGGATGGGGGAATAAGTACCTGCATCGCACCCCAGGTTCCAAAAAAGAAGTTTTCCTTTCGAAAAGTTGAAATGCTCTTCGTCGATCTTCGTGTCGGGAATCCGTCCATTTTCGCTTCAGGAACCACGGGGTTTATCAAACTCTTGTGGACTGGTTCCACTACTTTCGTTTATCGCTCTTGAATATTCAGACCATTTTATTCTCTTCTTCTCTGTGTGTAAGGTGCTTTTTGTTTGGAAGAGACAGGTTTGGTGCACGTGGATATGCGTTTCGTTGTAGCGAATGTTTTATTGTTATGCGTTAGTGGTGTATTTGCGGTTCCAGTGGAGGTTGTAAATGTTCTCTCTGGTAGAGGTTTGTTGGGATCTCCCTCTTGGATGATAGGACCAATGCTGATTTCTTCTAGCTGTTGACGATGCTTTATTTTCACAGCTGGAATTCTTTTCTCAGTTCGCTGCCGCTGCGTATTGTTTTGATAACGTCAATGGAGCGGGAAAGCCATTGAGTTGTAAATCCGGAGGCGGAAGCTGTGCTACCATCGAAGCACACAAAACCAACATCACCTGGACATTCGAAGCGTAGGTTGCCCCTCTGCTTGCCACGAACCAGCTTGCTAATCAGATCAGTGGTTACTCCAACACAAGAGGCTATGTAGCCGTCGACGACACCAACAAAGTCGTCGTCGGTTCCTTCCAAGGAACCAAACCCGGCGACAACAACATCGAAGACCTCATGACCGACTTCGACATCAAAGGAGTAAAAACCGACCTCTGCGGCACCGCCAACACAAGCGACGGCTGCCTCGCCCACCAAGGCTTCTACGAAGCCGCCAAAGACGCCAGCGGGCCCGTCACCGTCGCCATAAAAGAGGTCCTGGAAAAACACCCCGAGTACCGCGTCGTCATGAGTGGCCACTCCCTCGGCGCCGCCCTCGCAGCGCTGGTCGGAACCATGATGCGCAACGAGGGAATGGTAGTAGACATCTACACGTACGGACAACCCCACCTAGGAACGCAGGACCTCTCCCTCTCCATCCAAAACCAAGCACCCAAACTCGGGAACAACTTCCGCGTCACGCACTTCGACGATGCCGTGCCCAAATTACCCCCGCACAAGTTCGGGGGGTGGGACCACTACTTCCCGGAATTCTTCATTGATAAGAATAAAGGGACGCCTGATGCCTCGAGCCTGAGACGCGTGGATGCGACCCTCTTCACGAAAGATGGAAATGAGGGGGCGGGGAAGAGTAAGTTTGGGGCGTTGGGGAGGTTGCTGGGGGGTGTTGATGCGCATAAATTGTATTTTGGGCCGATTTCGAAGTGTGAGTCTTCGCCGCCTGGGGAGGAGCGGGAGAAGTTTTTTTAGGTTGTTTTGAGGGAGATGGTGGGATTTTCGTGTATATTTTAGGAGAGCGGACATATTTAGTAAATTGACAGAATAGGGATTGTATATAAAATCCATTTGAGAACATCGTTGTTAACATTCTGTGTCTCACAAGACCGTGTGAAGAAGTTCCTGTTCCGAGGTCTCAATGGTATCAATATACCTTGAAGATGGGAGATCATGTGCCATACTATTTGGAAGTAACGTTACTTATCTGTTACAGATATTATCCATTTCGCAATTGGCTAGTTATATACACCAAATTGACTCCCACCACCCCAACTCTCAAACGTGAGGTATATCTGTTGCCCATGTTGCAATATAAGCACTAGGTGGAAGGAAAAACAAACAACGGAACATTTCCACAATAATGAAGAGTCTGTACAAAACGTACAAGACTACATAGGAGAACAGTACGGATAGCAAAAACATCAAAATAATCCACTCGATTATTCTATTGCACCCCTTATCTTCTACCTTATCGTTTACCATTATCAATATTACGATAATCCCCAGTAACAAGAGGATACCACCAGTCAAATAGATACTTGTGGCTCGCCATAGAAGACGCTCTGCTGGTGTAGGGAAACTAAAGTTCCAAGCAACTAGATGAACCGCTCCAAACCACACATTGCTTATAATAAAGATGCCGTTACTGGTACTATTGCTGTGCTGCGTACCAGCATATATATTGGGGATCCTATAGCGATGAGAAGGGTCCTTCAGGAAAAGTTCGCGTAGCACCCTGAGAAACTCCAGCGGGATACTGGTGTCGTCGTCTTCTCCAATGGCGTCCATGACTGCTTTTGGGTGATCGCCTCTGTATGATAAAATCGTAATTGGTGTCCGTACATCCTGTGGCTTCTTCCAATTTGCAATATAAATGGCGACGGCAAGCACTGCAAAAGCAAGGACGGCAACTTCAAGCTGAGAGGTAGCGAGGCGCTTCTCTCTTCGCAAAATAATCTGCACTGTCATCCAAAGAATCTGTACAACGGCGAGAAATCGAACAAAAGGGTCACTCTTGCTTTTATCAAGTATTTCTTCTGCGCCAAGTTCTTGGGGTCAGTTCTGTTCTCAGAAAATAATTGGAGAGAATGGTTTCGTGAGGTACGAATGTGATCTCTAAGAATCTAAAGAACAAGTGAAAGCACCGACATACCTATGCTCAGGTTAGGTAATTTGTTATGAATCAAATACCCATTCTTTCGCAACCAAAATATATGGTGAGATTGGAGCGCGTGTGCGGCTTCTGTCAGCTGTCCATGCGGTAAGTTTCGAGACTCCTGGTCGATGTCGCCATTTCTATTCAGTATATTAGACTTGATCACAAAACCGCCCATATTGGCGAATAGATCGTGCGTCTCACTCCAAGCTGCGTAGTCTTCGTTTGCAAATTCCTCAAGCCTCATGATACCTGCTTTGGCATCCTCGAGATCGGCGAGGTTCTTTGCAAGTACAATTTCAGGTGCAACAACCGTCATCAGCATCCATTTAAACTTGATCAAGAACCCCTTCATCAACCACTTGATGTTTCCTCTCCAGCCCAGGTCACGGCCGTCCCGCTGCTCTGGAACATTGAGGTGGAGAACGGTCCACGTGCAGGCGAATATGGTAAAAAGACAGCTCCAGAGTATATCCAAAGTTCCTCGAGTACCGGTAGATGATACGTAATTAATAGTTGCATTTGGTTTGGTGCATTCGGTGATGAAGGTGGTGTACCCATACACAAGAGGTGCGGAGAAAATGATGACAGCGGCTTTCAAGAGCATTGTCATGATGATCTGTGAGGGATTGAATGAGGAGAAATTCGGATGCCAAAGTTTCAAGGCCAACGGCGGCCGGGTATCTGGTTTCGATTGTCTTTTTGTAAGAGTATATGTAGGCTGAGTGGTTCGTCCTCGCTAACGGCGGAGAGTCGTTTTATAGCATCTACCAAATGAGGCGGAGCAGTCCTTATAGAAAATTGGTGTCCCAGTGCAGTCTCTACAGATGCTCAACAGATAACCAATCAAATTTAATTATCGCGTGGTAGTCAAACTCCTTTTAGCGCTCAGGTGTTAGCCAAGCTTTTCAACTATTAAAAATAGTAGGCTCTTAAGCGAGCTTGGCTCACAAATACTAGGTAATTGGCTACCAACCCCCTTACCTCTTAGTAATCCCTTAATCATCAAGGGCTCTTTGGCCTTTGAGAAGACTGTACGGCAGTCGGGTAAACTTTGCGACCCTACGTCACAGCTTACAGGGGTATGTTTTGTACTCGCTATTGCGCGCGTACAATGGGCACCATCGCAACAAAGTTATAATTTACAGATTCGATCGATTTAGCCAAAATCAGTAGACGCACAATCTAACGCCTTTGGCGCCCCTGGCGATAGCACTCGCAGTGGTGAGTGTGGTAGTGCGCATGGTAGTGCGCACCTGGAAGAGCATGCGCCGGGTGCTTCTCGGAGGCACCCTTAAAGGGTGTTGCTAGCCCAGCGAGCCCAGGTACACCCTCGGGGGAGGCTCGGCCGAGGCTCAAATCTGTCTAACCCTTAAAAAGGTTATATTTAGGACTTAATACAAGAAAAAGGGCTTATTCTTAAGCGAATTTTAACCCTCGGGTATAGAGAACGCGGTTATAACTACTATTACTATAGGGCTATTTGTCACGAATCACGTGTTCACGTGATACTTGTCATAATAAAAGGCGCAACCCTCGACAGGCACATTCAGATTTCTTATAGCAAATGGGGATCGCTTAGGGTAGCTAGGCGATCCAAGGATTTCTTCCTTACAGAAGATCATGTGACTAGGGAGTATGAGGAAGTATAAGGGAGGCTTATACTACTCTATACTACCGGAGTATGAGGAAGTATAAGGGAGGCTTATACTACTCTATACTCGGACCATACGCGGGGTATGAAGGTTCTATATAAGACTGGCACGTCTGCCATTAGATAGGAGCTTCGTGCTCAACTTAGTTATCAATCTTATCATATTAGTTTGACATCTTTGATACAAGTAACGAGTTCACTTCCAAGTGAACAACCCGATAGTCTTCTTCTTATCATAGCATACCAACCAGCGAACACCCAGCCAAGTTTAGTTAGCCAGTTTGAGTATTCGTTACACTATTGTCAAGGTATCACTAGGAGCGTACAAAAGACTGTTCTAGAATATGGTTGAGATTGATCGCGAGTCAGCTAAGAAGTCCTAGAGCTAGCTATTACTTATACACAACAAGAGGCCAGGCTATTCCCCATTAGGCAGCTCCATACTATCTCCGATTAGGCAACTCCAACCCACTATTGCATTCACTAAGCGAAGCACCAAAACACTATACCGAGCCACATTCACGCCCTCACAGCTATATACTAAAACTCGAGCTTTAATTAGCTAGAAGACTTTTATGTCACAAATCACGTGCTAGCACGTGAGGTGTTAGTCCAGACGGGGTTCTGACAGGACAAACACATCATGGCTCTTATAGCAAAAAGGGATCGCTTAGGTTAGTTAAGCGATCCAGGAATTTCTTTGTATACAAGTCACGTGATATATACAGGTCGACTTCTCGCCTGGTCGAGAAGTCGATTATCGACTATGTCGACAGTCGACATTGTCGACTTCAGGAACACGAAGGTTCTATATAAGACTGGCACGTCTGCCATTAGATAGGAGCTTCGTGCTCAACTTAGTTATCAATCTTATCATATTAGTTTGACATCTTTGATACAAGTAACGAGTTCACTTCCAAGTGAACAACCCGATAGTCTTCTTCTTATCATAGCATACCAACCAGCGAACACCCAGCCAAGTTTAGTTAGCCAGTTTGAGTATTCGTTACATTTTATAGTAAAGTTTAATAAATACTAGAAGAGTACTAGAGAGGTTATAGGTTTACTTTTTAACCTTATAAGGGTAAAATAAAGGGGCTAGCTCGGCTAGGTACGCCTAGAGGCTAAAAGAGAAAGTAATTTATATATGTAAAGAACTTTTAATAATAATATGAATAAAGGAATTAGTAAATTCTCGGCCTTAATTAGCTCTTTTTATATCTCTTCTTATATTTATTCCCTTCTTTTAATTTAATAACCCTTTAAATATACTCTAGTATTCGTTTAATCTAGGCTTATATTTACTTAAATAATAAGCTCTTTTAGTATTTTATTTGAGTATTTTTTCTCTTTATATTAACTATTAGCTAATCTAGTTTAATATTCTTTCATCTTAATATATAGATTTGTTCCTTGTTTCTCGAATCTTTAAAAGAGACTCTAGAAGGCTTTATATAAGTAAGAACGTTAAATCCTAAGTTATAGTTATATTAAGTAAAGTATAAGAGTTATTATAATATTAGAAAGGTAATATAAGTATAATAAGTTAGTTATAGAAATACTAGAACTTAAAAACTCGTTAGTAAAAAACGTATAAGTATATAGTAGTACTTCTACTAGTTAGAAAAATATATAAATTAAGAATAAAATACTACTTAATTATATATATAAATCGGTCCTATTTATATATCTTTCTAACTAGTAGAAATATAAGTATATAGGTAATATATATATAGGTAAGACTTAAGTATACTAGTAGCTCGTAGTATAACTTCTTATATAACTAAGTATAGCTATATGAGTAATATAATATATATAAGTTCTTACTTATATAAGGCTTATAAAAGTCTCTTCTAAGACTCTTATACTAAGATTAATTATTAGTATCTTTTATTTAGTTATCTCCTTTTTTATTTAAAACTAATATAGCTTAATAGTATTTAGATCGGGAGAATTAAATAACTAGATTAAATATAATATATTCTAAAGTTTAAATACTTTCTTTTAGTACTTTAAAGTATATATGATTATATTATTCTTTTATATATATATATATATGTATTCAAATATTACTTTTTTTATTCTTTTATAAAAGGTAAAAGAAATAGCTTAAGAACTATTTCCTAGTACTAGTACTAGTTAATTCTACTCTTTTCTTTTTTAAGAATATATTTACCTTACTTTTTTATAAACTTTTATTTAGTGGTTACTTTTATTTAATTAGTTTAAGTACGTGTTTTAGTCTTAGCCTTATATACTACTAGCTTATTCTACTAGTCTTATTCTTATCTAGTATTATAAATATAAGGGGTTAGCCCCTAGAGTAAAATACTGGCTATACTAGTACTTACTAAGTTATACTAAGAGGGCCCTTAGGCCTCTTTTCTCCTTTATAGTAAATCCTAAGAAGATTCCTTCTCTCTTTTTATTGAACTTATTAAATATTATATTAAACCTTTTGTATATATATTAGTTACTTATAATATTAAGTTTAATTAAATTATAAGTCTTTCTTATTCTAATAAGTTTAAGCCGGCTACTAGACTAAGCCTAGTAGTAATTATAAACTAAAAAAGGATATCGAATATAGAACTTTACTAAGCCCTCTAAGACGTCTACTAGTATTAAGTAATACTAGAGGCTAAACTAATAAGAATATATATTATAAGAAAGGAGAAAGAGAACTAACTAAGTATATTAGAAAGCTTTATATCTATAAATAATCTTATAAAAGCTTTAATTTTATTACTTAAAATAACAAATTAGCTAAATCTTAACTACTAACTATTAGGCTCTAGAGACTAGAAACTACTAACCTAGAATAGGCGTATAAACACCTTTCGGAATTACCTTTTAAGACTTAAGAGCTGATATATAGTATAGTTTATAGTAAAACTAGTACTTTCTATAAATTATTATTAGAATACGATTTATAATACCCTCTTCTTATATAAGTAAGCCTAAATAAAATACTTTTAGAAGAAAGAGAATACTAAATAAAATAAAGATCTTATAGCTTTCTTTATATAACTTAATCAGATTTTTATAGATAGTAATAAATAAGCTAAAGTCTTAAAAAAGCTGACTAACTTAAAATATTTCTTAGGTTAACCTTAGTAAGTACTAATAAAGAAAGCTAAGAAAATAATATAAAGATAAGCTATTTTAAAAATACTTTCTGAAACTTTATTTAAATATATATAACTACTATAGTTAAAGTAATAGACTACCATAAGTTTTTTAAGAAAGTAAAATATATTATAACTAACTTTAAAAAAACTAACTAGTTTAAATTATTAAATAAGAAATAAAAGGAAAAGAACAAAAAGTTTAAAATAAAGATAATAGTAACTATGTACTTATAAAAGTACTTTATATTACCTAGAATAAATACTAATAGTAATAATATAATAGTATTAATATAAATAAGTAGTAACTAAAAGAAAAGTAATAGACACTATAAAGATTTAAGTAGAAAATAAAAAGCTAAATAAGTAAATATTATAAAAAGAGAGATATACTAAAAAGAAAAGTTTTACTTCTAATATAAAGCTTTAGGATACTATATCTAAGAATACTTATATAACCTACTTGTATAACTAGTTAAGATTAACTAAGTTAGAATAGGTCTAGTACTAAAAGATAACAATAATATAATAGAGCTTAACTCTTATAAATTAAGAAAAAACTAACTCTTAGTTATAGTTAAGAACTAAGAGCAAAAGAAGTATTAGTAAAAGAATAAGAAGAAACTAAGAAAGTAATAAATAGAAACCTTATATATATAAATATAATTTTTTAAGAAACTTTTAAAACCTTTACTCTTATTAATAAACGGTACTAATACTATACTATAATAAATAATGATCTTATAAAAAAGTTAAGTCTTATGTTTATTAGTAATAAAAAATAAAAAGTAAAAAAAGCCTTTTTAGTTATATATAATTTAGAGATCTAAG